GTACCATGCCCTATCCTACAAAACTGTGGCTTCCCCATTGCCTTTATCTAGCCCTGAAGCTCACCTGTAGATCATGCCTGGGGAGCCCGTCTGCCTGTTCGAGAATCTAGCCGGAGAGTCCGTGGTGGATTCCGGATACATGGAGCCCAGCCTCCCGGTTCCAGTTCAAGTTTTTTCAACACCCACTAAAGGAAGCAGGGAAGAGAAAGAGAGAGGAAGAACAGAGTTAGGCAATGCGTATACCAGCCCATCAGCTTACACAACAGAGGCCAAGGATCGTCATTATCTTCCCCTTGCTTCCAGGCTGTCGTCCTCCTCACGGAGATGGGTGCTACACACAAAACAGGTCTCACTTTCACCCTAAGATCCACTGCATAAAACTGTCTTGAACTGGCAGGGAGGAGAAAGAGGATCCCAATGAGGAGTGTAGCTGTGACTGGGACAAGCTGGGGATGTAGAAGGAGAGGTTGGTGTAGGAAGTACTCATGGGGTAATGGAGGATGGAGAGGGGATGGGGGTCAGTGCACAGGAACCGGAGCAGCAGGACCCAACACCTGAGCCAGAGGAGCTCCTTTCTCCCCAAACACGGCGGGCTCTGAGGCATAGGGAGCAGTAGGAGGGGTGCTCCAGGAGGCTGAGGCACGCAAAGGCACCCAGCCCAGCTCCCTGGACGGTCAGGTGGGGCTTGCTAGCTCTGGGAGGAAGGGTGTGATTCCTCAGCTGCAGTAGGCTCAGGACAGGTGAGGGTCACCTGCCTCGTCAAGCCCAGATGCTGCCATCAGCAGGCAAAGTACACAAGGGAAGCAGAGCTGAGTTGCTGTGTCTGTTCAACGTCCCACGTTGGTTGGACCATGGCTTGGATGGTCCAGGGAGCTCTTCAGGACTGTGCTTGTGAGGGACTAATCTCCATGCGCCCTGGCCCTTGGATCAGCTGCAGAGGCAGGAACCTGGTCTCACTGGACTTTAGAGCTGTTAGCCTTCCAGACTACATGCTAGCATCTGTTGTGGAGCCGTGCACACCCGTGAGACCAGCTGTCAGGTATCCTGTGGTTCAGGACAAAAACAAGCAAATAAACTCTCTGCATATCAAAAGCCAGTGCCTCAAGGCAAGAGTAACACTACGGCTTTCTCCCAGAAGTGCTAGGTTTCTACATGCAAGGATTTTTTTGTTTATATGGAAGAATGGCACAAAAGCCATTGCTTGCATACACTCTTCTGGCAGTCTGAAGCAAGATTTTTTTCATAATTCTAATGCCTCCATCTACGTAACAGCCACATTGACTTGCAGAAAAGTGCAAAGCGATAGGCAGTTTTGTTCAACAGGAGATTCCGGCTGCTAATTACTTAACTTTATGGTTAATTTAGCCCAGCGGACGAAGTGGGGAAGTTGTGCCAGAACCATCTGTATAGATCACGAGGAGGACTAGCGACATTGAAAGGCTGTTTGTCACTTAAAAATATAATAATTATCAGTTTAGGAAATAGATATTCTACAAGATCCAGCTTCACTTAAAAGAAGACCTTGCTTGTTTTTGTTTTATTTTATTTTTCATTCCTGGTTGCGCATACACCAATGCTGATTTAGCAATCAGCGGTCGACGCATCTCTTTCTGTGTTTGTTCCCTTTTTCGTTCAGATTTTGCAAGCCCTCATTCTGTACAAATGTTTCCATTTAAAAAGAACCTTCAAAAACCCACCACGTAACTCAATTCCCCGTTATTGCTAAAAACAGCGCAGCAATTGAGAATAAATTAAGCAGGCAAGCAGCAGTATGAAAAGCATGAAAGAGGTGGGTGGTTGTGTGGGTGGGTGGAGGCATGTCAGGGAAAAGAATTAAAGCAGAAAACCATTTAAGGATTGTAACAGATTTAAGGTGCCAGGAATATCAAATCAGGAAATCTGGTGGCTGGACTCGAGTGCTTCACCTGCCATATCACCACAAGAGGGAGCTGTTGGTCCCTTAACTGCTCTTGAGCGCCATCGAGGTGGCTGGCTGAAGGAGGTATTGCACCCTGTCTGACTTAAACGGGCTTTCTTTTTAGCTGACACAAAGGCCCAATAAGGATATTGTAGAGTTGGAAAAAGGTTCAGTAAAGGGCAACCAAAATGATGGAGGGGGTGGATTGAGGCACCTATAGGGAAAGGCTACAGCATTTAGGGCGGGCATAGGCAAACTTGGCCCTCCAGCTTTGGGACTACAACTCCCATCATCCCTGACCATTGGTCCTGTTAGCTAGGGGTGATGGGAGTTGTAGTCCCAAAAACATCTGGAGGGCCGAGTTTGCCTATGCCCGCCCTAAATGCTGTAGCCTTTCCCTATAGGTGCCTCAATCCATCCCCTCCATCATTTTGGTTGCACTTTACTGAACCTTTTTCCAACTCTACCTGCCCCTGAGAAACCACTTTTGCTGTTTTGTCCCCAGGGGAGATGATGGGTCGCTAGAAGTAGTTTTTTTAAATATAATAATAATAATACTTTTTTGTTTAGGTCCCCAGATGTTGTTGGACTACAACTCCCATCATCCCTGAGCTCTGACCTTGCTAGCTAGGGGTGATGGGAGTTGTAGTTCAACAACATCGGGGACCCACAGGTTGAGAAAGGCTGGTTTAGAGAAAAGAAGAGTAAGAGGAGACATAAAGCATAGAGTTCAGCTATGGAACTCCCTCCTGCAGGAGGCAGTGATTGGCACCAACTCAGGTGGTTTTAAAAGAGGATTGGGGAAATTTATGGAGGAGGATGGGGCTATCATTGGCTGCTGGACTTGATGGGCCATTGGCTTCAACCAGGAATGTTTGGATGTTGAGTGCCAGCGGACCCTGGACCTTGCCGCCCTCCAAAACTGGGCCTCCCTCCTGGCCTGTTGGAATTGTGTTCTCCGCTCATCACAAATTCTCCCTGCTCTCTCCTCCCGAGACAGCCAGGAGCCTCTGCCTCTAAAATAAGACATTGCTGAAACGAGGACAGAAAGCAGAACCCTGAGCAAAGGGGTTGGGTGACAGGCGGACAGAGGCTCCTGCCTCCTGTAGTTTCAAGGACCCTGGGTTGAGCCAAGGTGAGATCACAGGACAAAAGCAAAAACAAAACAAAACAAAAAAACCTCGCGTCTTCTTCACCGGCTCATGTAGCTCAGAGAAAACGAAAAACGGGTCTGCAAGCCAATCTTTAGCAGCAGCAACGCACAGCTTCGAATTTCTGCAAGCAAATTTATACACGGCATCTATGGTGACAATACCCCTCCCTCTCCAATTATTTTGAATTACTTAATGTATATACTGCTGAATGCCTTTTTTTTTGTATTGCCAGGGACATCACCCCTTCTGCTGTTCCAACTCTGTTTTTATATTCTCCAACCTCCTTGAGACTTTCTGGTAAACGGTAAATACAACATTATTTAAATACATAATGATGATGATTTTCGGTTACCTGCCCCTGAGAAACCACTTTTGCTGTTTTGTCCCCAGGGGAGATGATGGGTCGCTAGAAGTAGTTTTTTTAATATAATAATAATCATACTCCCAAACACTTAACATACATTATCTCTGCAAGCTTCACAACGGCCTCAAAAGGTAGGCCAGCATGATTCAATTCTTGCGTGGAAGTTGAACGGATAAGAGAATAGTGGCTTCTCTAAACCTACCCAGTGAGTCGGTGGTAGAGGTGAGATTCCTGGCTCACACCAGAAGGATTATTTATTTGGATCGGGCGTGATGTTTTATTGCATTACATTTTACTTTCCAAACATACTGTTAGGGGAAGAGGATGGGGGCAGAAATGGAAAGGAAGGAGCTCCCCAACAAGCCCAATATTTAGCATGAATAAGCAGAGTCTTTGAAACGAAAGAAGAAATCGTGCAGCTAAGCTTGCAGCCGCCATAATACAGAGGCAGGAGAATTAGCTAACCACCCAATTTTTCTGCAGCTGTGAAAAGGAAGTGCTTTCTTCTGGGATTGAGACAGACATGAGAGGTTCCAGAAAGCCAAGCAGGAGAAAAGGATGTGGCAGCCCAGTGGCAGATAATGCTGTTTTGCAGATCTATGGTGTGGCCACACTTGGTTGAAATTGGAGGAAGGGCAGTTTTTCACCCACTCTCATAACATTGAAACTTGTGGACGTACAATGAAGCCGAGTGTTGGAAGGTTCAGGACAGATAAAAGAAAGGACTTCATCACATAGCACAGAGTTAAACTGTGGAACTCACTGCCACAGGAAGCTAGGATGACCACCTACTTGGACGGCTGTAAAAGAGGGCTAGACATATTCATGAGGGAGAGGGCTATTATCCATGGCTGCTAACCACAATGGCTATGCTCTGCCTCCATGGTCAGAGGCAGCGATGCTTACAAATACCAGTTGCTAGAAACCTCAGGAGGAGAGAGTGCTCTTGAGCTCAAATCCCGTTTGCCATCTGGTTGGCCACTGTGAGAAGACGATAATGGACTAGATGGGCCCCCTTTGGCCTGATCCAGCAGGCTCGTCTTACGCTTTGCATGCAGAAGGTCCCAGGTTCAATCCTTTGCATCTCCAAGTATGGCTGACAAAGGCACTTCTCTGAAACCTTGGCCGTTAGTGTATACAGTACTGATTTAGAACCTAGGTGAACTTAAAAGAAGGACCACAGCTTAGTGGGAGAGCAGGTGCTTTGCATGCAGAAGGCCCCGGTCTCAATCCCTGGCATCTCCAGGAAGGGTTGGGATTTCCCTCTGGCAGAAAGCCTGGAGAGCCATTGCCAGCTTTAAGTCGGTGACCGTGCTCCTAAATCTTCTGAAAGCATGGTCCCCCCAAGGAGGCCACTACCCATGCCCCTAGCTACTAACATGCCCCTTTAAGATCAACTGGAGACACAAATGGTATCAGACCAACAGCACCTATGTATCATGTTACGATATGGGTTAAAGCCACACGGTTTACGAAAACCAACCACCAAGCAGGAATTGAACTGACAGCAGATTGATCAGGGTATAATAATAACAACCCACTGTCAATCAACAACATGTAAACAAATGTGTGTGTGTGTGTGTGTGTATATGTATATACATATGTGTATATGTGTGTATGTATATATATATGTGTGTGTGTGTACACACACACACACACACACACACACACACATTATCATTAACCAGGCAGCAGGTGAAAAGGAAAGGAATGATGATGAGACTGCCTTATTGGAAACTGGACTCTGAAATGCAAATGAATTGCAAGTAACTGGGATGTTAGGACATTATAAGCAAACACATACACACACAAAACAAGCACTTCAGTGTAGTATAACTGAACTGACTAGGGGATAACTACATGGGTGCCTTTTTTAGAAAGAAATTTTTGAATATAAGAGTAACCAGTCTACGCGCAAGTCAACAGAGCATGAGGCTTGTGCATCGTGACCTAGTGCTTGATTTGACCCACCTGAGGGGCGCTGGGTAATTTAATGCTGCAACCCAGAGAGGGAATCTAAAGCAGCCTTGGCCCCACTTTTGAGCTGCAATATGAACAGCAGACTACATTGCAAGGCCATCGTAAGTGATTCTGTTGTAAACTGGAACGTGTGCAGAGGAGGGTGACCAGAATGATCAAGGGTCTGGAAGCTAAGGCCTGTGAGGAATGGTTGAGGGAGCTGGGAATGTTCAGCCTGGAGAAGAGAAGACAGAGAGGAGATATGATGGCCACCTTCAAATATCGGAAAGGCTGTCACAAGGAAGATTGTTTTCCACTGCTCTGGAGGGTACGTCCTGAACCGGCGGATTCAAATTACAAAAGAAGGAGATTACGGCTAAACATTATGAGGCACTTTCTGATGGCAAGAGTTGTTTGCCATCCTTCACTGGAGGCTGTTAAACAGAGGTTGGATGGACATCTGTCCGGGATTCTTTAGCTGTGATTCCTGCATTGCAGAGGGTGGGACTAGATGAACCTTGGAGGTTCCACCCTACACGGCAATTCTACGGTTCTATTATTCTACTCTATCTCAGAAGAATCCTCAAACCTGTAATATGGGCGTAAGTGTGGACTACAATGCGGGATTATGATTATACTTTGTCTCAGGGGTCCAAATAACTTGGCTGGTCTTGGGTTTCATATACTTGGGGTGCAGCCCCCAGCAGCAAAACCGCCTGGCTCTGCTAGTGGCTTATAGGAGGCACATGAGTATGCAATAGATGACTGAGCAGCAGCTTCCAAATTCTGCACTTTCAGAGGCTCCTTCACACATTGAAACTCCAACTCAGCAGGATGAGTCATTCTAGTATCATTCTAAATACTGTTTTTATAACATTGAAAGATTTCTTTTTCTTTTACAGGCTTCCTTTTTTATTGCGCGTTCATGATGGTATCCTGTTTTCGAGACCATTTGCACCCGTTAAAAGTACTAGGGCAAAAACGCTGCTCCATTTCCAATCACTGAACACCGTATACCACCCTGTCAAAATCCTGTAACATTTTTTTTTTTTTACAGCATGAATGCTCTGCTTCGTTTATTGGCCTGAATTTAGTTGTGCAGGACGAGAGATGCCCTTTGAGATGACACAATAATGCACTTACAGCGGGGCAGCGTCACAGAGCAACTATTAAAGAAGAATGACGTCCCAAAGCCAGCACCATTTCCTGTGCCAACACCATTTCTGTATTGTAATGCAATATGTGAAAACCAATAAAAAAAAGCAAAGAAGAAGAAGAAGAAGAAGAAGAAGAAGAAGAATGATGTGTGGTTGGTCCAGTATAAACCTACTGCTAGTACTGCATTCATGAATGGTGGCAGAATATAGTAAAGGTAAAGGGACCCCTGACCATTAGGTCCAGTCGTGGCCGACTCTGGGATTGCGGCTCTCATCTCGCTTTACTGGCCGAGGGAGCCAGCGTACAGCTTCCGGGTCATGTGTCCAGCATGTCTAAGCCGCTTCTGGCGAACCAGAGCAGTGCACAGAAACGCCGTTTACCTTCCCGCCGGAGCGGTACCTATTTATGTACTTGCACTTTGACGTGCTTTTGAACTGCTAGATTGGCAGGAGCAGGGACAGAGCAACAGGAGCTCACCCCGTCGCGGGGATTCGAACCGCCGACCTTCTGATTGGCAAGTTCTAGGCTCTGTGGTTTAACCCACAGCGCCACCCGCATCCCTTGGTGGCAGAATATATCCCCCCCCAAAAAAACACATCTGGAGGGGCCACACTTCATAGTGTTAGGTTTTGTTTGTATCAATTTATTGGTAAACCGCACAGGGGACCTTTTAAGAATGCAAGGAGAGTTTGCTGGATCAGGCCAACGGCCCATCTAGTCCAGCCTCCTGTTCTCACAGTGGCTGACCAGATGAGTGGAGGAAGCCCACAAGCAGGGTTCGAACACAAGACTCCTCTCCCCTCTTGTGGTTTCCAGCAACTGGTATTTAGAAGCATTGCGGCCTCCAACTGTGGAGGCAGAGCAGAACCTGTTGGAAGTTTCAGGACGGGTCAAAGAAAGGACTTCTTCACGCAGTGCATATTAAAACTATGGCACAGAGATGGCCACCAACGTGGATGGCTTAAAAAGAGGACTGGATAAAGTCAATGACTAGTCTCTACAATGGCTATGTTCTGCCTCTATGGTTGGAGGTTGCAGTGCTTCTGAATACCACTTGCTTTGCCACCTGGAAAGTAAACCACACTGTATCTACACAAAAACACACACACACTGTCCATGAGAATTTCATCCAAATTTTATCTGGCCCCTGCTCATTTTCGAACACTATTATACTAGTATTATTGTTATAATTCATATTTGTATACTACTGTATCTCCGCAGGTCTCGGGGCGGTTCACAACATAAAATCGCAACATAAAAACACAAAATATATAATAGAAATAAAAACAAAAACAAGCTAATAACCCTCCCAAACAAATTTATTTTCTCATTATTATTTACTGTATACCCTGCCTATCCGACACATATAAAAACATAATAAAACTACACAGGGCTGCCTTCAGGTGTCTTCTAAAGGTTGGATAGTTACTTATCTCCTTGGCTTGGGGGTCGCGTAATTCCAACCCTCCAAGCTTTCTCTGATAAAAATAGGGACATCCTAAGGAAAAGCGGGACTATCCAGGATCAAATCAGAAACCAGGACGGCTTCTGTAAATCCAGAACTGTCCCTGGAAAATAAGGATACTTTGAGGGCCTGTGTTTATTATTTATTTATGAAAATAATTAGATACCACTGTTCATAAAAGGGGGGGGGGGGAGGAATCCAAGCAGTTTACAACCAGTCATTAGTTCCCTGCACATTAAGTATGAATGGTGGGTAAAGTTTGCCCCTGCTGACCTGGGAGCTTCAAGTTTCTCAGCATCCTGATTTTAAGGCCATTACGGCCAGCTTCAGTTTCATCAGGTTAAAAGCTTCTGCCAAGGAAATCCAGCACGGCTACAGCTCCCTCAGAGAGAGGGGTCTTTAGGCCAAGGAGAGGGAGCGTCGAAGACGCTCTGGGTTGAAAGGCGTCATGGAAAAAGAGGCTCACAGAGACAGTGTTCTCCCTGAGTTCACTCCAGGATAGGGACATATTGTTGCACAAACCGCAATCTCCAAGTGGCAAGTGTTTCTTGGAATGAAGGTTGGCGGAGACTGTGGTGTCTTTAGTATGAATGGTTTTATCTGCACATATACAGAAGCCGAGCATTGGAGGGAGGGGCTCACAGCTTTAATATTTCCAACCGACTTTGCTTCCTCATTCAGTTTTCAGAGAAGCACCAAGTCACAGTTCTTTGGGTTCAGTACAGAGCAAGGCCTGCCCTCCATCTTCCAACATCAACCAAAAATCACATACGGAACATCTGGCAATTGTTCTTCACCTTATGAGGTGATGTCACTTCCCATTAGGTGGGGAGAGTTACCCCCCAATTATCTCTATGGCAACAGATATAAGAAGAAGAAGAGGAGGAGGAGGAAGAAGAAGTTGTTTTATTTATACCCCGCCCTCCCCAGCCAAGACCGGGCTCAGGGCGGCTAACACCAGGTATAAAACAATTGATTAAAATACAACTTAAAAACAAGATTAGAATAGAACATTAAAATGCAGCCTTATTTCAGTAGAAACTCAAATCAAAAACCTTTTGGGGATGAAAATGTCAACTCTTCAACATCTTTCTAACGTAAATGACAGTACTGAACTGGACAGGGTTTGGCTGGTTTGCTCTTATAGATTCTACTCTCACCTACGCAGGGTCACAGTTTTGGAAGGGACTCACGGGCACCATCCAGACTGACCCTCCAAAACTTAAAACACTATGAAGCTGTCTAATATCAGTCTATTTGATCTACTCTTGACTGCTAAAAGTTCTTTCCCAGCCCGAAACTTGGAGATGCCTTGGACTCCAGTGCTGCTCTGCTGTGGAGAACAAGATCGCCATGCTGTAAGATCCGGACTCCCTCCATCTAAATTCAGGTGTAAATAGGTGACTAAATCATATTTCCTTAAAGCTACAACAGCCTCCACCGTGTCTTCAATTCTTCAAAGGAGCACAGACCCTGCTTGGCAGAGTTTGGGATGTTGTTTGGGTACTTTTCAAGAGAGAAACAGGTACTCACCCATACCATCTACTGTCCAAGGGAGCAGCGAGTGGTGGGAAGGGATGAGTTAGGGACTTTGGGGGAGACCCCTGCCCAGGCCCATGCAGAGCTTGTATGAGGCTTGGGGCAGGAGTCCCTGGTCAGCTGGCATGGGGCGTTCCTGGCATGGCAGCGTAATTCTGGCAGGCCCCTGGTGGCGCCCACCTCCCCCCAGCTGGCTTAGCCCTGGGTAAATGTACTCAGCTGCCCTCCTGCCTCTGCGTGAGTCTTGCCCCTGTCCCAAACATTAACCACCTCCAAGATTCAGTAGCTTGCATAGAAATGAAGCCTGATTCCTTCTGCCAAAGGTCCTATCCCAGCAGAGTTTCCTAAGGCAACAAATATGGAGACAAAAGCATGCTCACTGCTAGCCATTTTTATATTCTGACCCTAGCGGGGAGGAGGCTGGCATGAAGAAAAGTCAGCGTCCAATTCAACGCCATCCAGACTTTTTTGGGGTTTACCTCCTACACAGGATGTGAATACTTAATGCAATTCTTTGCTCATGGGAGGAAACTTAACAAAGGTATTAGAATCT